TTTTTCTTATCTTTGTTAATAACTTTCTTTCCGGGATGAACTCTTTTCCTTCCATATTATGTTTTCACACTTACGGTGCTGTTCCCGAATTGTTTTTACTTAATTCAATTTTGAATTGTTACTTGATTACGTAAGGCAGCGCTAGATGACGCGCATCGACGCGCCACTTTTGCAACAGCGCTCTAAGGCATTGTTCACAGATTGCGATCCGGCGGTTGGGAGAAAAGCAATAAATAGTCATCGATCGGAGAATCGCCCAACCGTCCAACCGCCGCGGTTGGGCGGTTGGGCGAAAAGCAGTAGATGTGTATCGATTTCGCTGGCGAAAAACGCCACCGCGATGGAGCTAGCGTTTTGTCGAAGGCGAAAAACGTCGCGGTTTGGCGAAACGCCCGTCGATACGTACCAAAACCCTTTCGCCCAACCGCCAGGCTCTTCGCCCAACCGCCAGTCGATGTATCGAAAGCTTTTCGCCGAACCGCCGCGTTTCAGAGAAACGCTGGACCGCAGAGTGTGAACAATGCCCAAGGCTATAGACGCGAAAGCAGCCGCAGACGGGAATCGATCGACGTCGGCCGCTTGTGTTTTGAGAGAGTTCGAGTGAGGAGGAAAGGTGCGTGTTGCCTATTCATGCAGTCTGGCACTTGCACTGCCGCTTGGGCTCTAGGAGAGTATAAAAGAATTAGAGAGTACCAGACTGCGTGAAGCCAGCACCTATCCTCCTGTTATCCTACATTCCTCTCAAAACACGAGCCCACCGCCGATCGGTTCCCATCTGCGGCTGCCTTTCCGTTCAAAGTCTGAACGCTACTTATGCGGCGTTTGCTTTTGTAGGCTGCCGTGAGGGTTCCAAGTGATCCTTCTATTAAAAATTTCCAGTCAAAAACTAAAAATTGAAGTTCTTAAATAGAACAACAGGACTTGTTCTCATATAGAACATCAGCTCGCTATATTTAACGCATTATTTAGTCCTAAATTATTATGGATTCCCGAGAAACTCGATTTTCATTTCCTGACATACTTACCGCACATACCTGTCGATCAGCTCGCTACATTTTAGAAGTGCTCCTCAAGCGGCTGAAGATGAGGAAGATCCTCTGGATGCGTTCATGAGCGGTCTGAGAAAAAATATGCAGAAAGACAGGCCATCGGTAGGGTCTTTTACAATCTTCATTACTTCGTTTCTTTTCTCTGTTTTACCAGTCCTTGAAGTAGTAACAAATTCATGACAAAATTCATCTCCTACGTTCAGGGAGGTGTCAGGGTTGTGAATATTAACACTGTGAAAGAGATAGAAAAAGGATTGGTGCTAGAAAACGAGGACAGATCCGATTTTGTTGTGGAAGACATTGATATGGAGCAGGTATTTTACTTGTAGAGTTGTACACTTATTTCTGAGGGAATTTCCGAGTGCCATCCAATTCATGGTAAATTCTTTTCTTTAGGCGGCCGCAAGTTTGTGTCACAAAGGACGTATGCTGCCAGCAACGGATCATTCGAAAGTGTACTACCGTCCCTTCAGGAAAGATTTCTACGTCGAGGTATACTTTTCTTGTTACTGTTCTCTTTTGGTATATATATTTGTGATGCTTTTGTAAATCTAATGAAGTATACTTGAGCCAATAGTGACCCGCGTTCTCCTCTTGAATATCGTTTTCTTTCCTTTTTCACAATACACTGTAGTCTTTCGCTTTTTTTTCATGAGCAATTTCCTGCATCCTTACCGTTTACTGCAGAGCTTATTGCCGCACTCATAGCTAATGGTTCAGACAAGCTTCGCCGCCTCCAGCCCAATGCTCCCTTCCCATCTCGCCAATCCGCTGTCAAGAGTTGTATCAATTCGATACGAATGTAGTTTTCCCTATCGCATCTGATCTGTCGCTTGAACACCGTGTCGCCTTCTTGAGGGCAAACTCGTACTTTCTAGGGGGGACCTTTCTGTAAATGAGGTGAATGGGGCTCAGCTGCAATGACGCTGGAGCGTAGCGATACCTTGGCGATGTCATCATATTCTGCTCGCACTATCCTCATTCTGCAACATTTGCGTCGATGCCTAGGTCCCGCACCGGGACGAGCACTCAACATTGGAGAACAACAGAAGTGAGAGGGATCAGTCAAGCAGCACGCTTGGCTGTGGTAGGCGTGGCTGTGCGGCAGCGCGGAGTATGGAGCCGGCACCCGGTATCACTGCCGATAGGCTCGCACCTGGGCACTTTTGACGGGAAAGAGTCACGTACAGCAACTACGGACCCATTCCC